ATAAATGTGCTGAAGTCATGGTGAAGTATTCACTATGGATTAAACAATAAATGTGCTGAAGTCATGGTGAAGTATTCACTATGGATAAAACAATAAATGTGCTGAAGCCATGGTGAAGTGTGCAGAAGCCATGGTGAAGCATTCACGATGGATGAAACTATAAATGTGCTGAAGTCATGGTGAAGTATTCACTATGGATAAAACAATAAATGTGCTGAAGCCATGGTGAAGTGTGCAGAAGCCATGGTGAAGCATTCACTATGGATGAAACTATAAATGTGCTGAAGTCATGGTGAAGTATTCACTATGGATTAAACAATAAATGTGCTGAAGTCATGGTGAAGTATTCACTATGGATGAAACTATAAATGTGCTGAAGTCATGGTGAAGTATTCACTATGGATTAAACAATAAATGTGCTGAAGTCATGGTGAAGTATTCACTATGGATGAAACAATAAATGTGCTGAAGTCATGGTGAAGTATTCACTATGGATTAAACAATAAATGTGCTGAAGTCATGGTGAAGTATTCACTATGGAGGAAACTATAAATGTGCTGAAGTCATGGTGATGTATTCACTATGGATTAAACAATAAATGTGCTGAAGTCATGGTGAAGTATTCACTATGGAGGAAACTATAAATGTGCTGAAGTCATGGTGATGTATTCACGATGGATGAAACTATAAATGTGCTGAAGTCATGGTGAAGTGTGCAGAAGCCATGGTGAAGCATTCACTATGGATGAAACTATAAATGTGCTGAAGTCATGGTGAAGTATTCACTATGGATTAAACAATAAATGTGCTGAAGTCATGGTGAAGTATTCACTATGGAGGAAACTATAAATGTGCTGAAGTCATGGTGAAGTATTCACTATGGATGAAATATAAATGTGCTGAACAATGGTGAAGCATTACTATGGATTAAACAATAAATGTGCTGAAGCCATGGTGAAGCATTCACTATGGATGAAACTATAAATGTGCTGAAGTCATGGTGAAGTATTCACTATGGATTAAACAATAAATGTGCTGAAGTCATGGTGAAGTATTCACTATGGATGAAACTATAAATGTGCTGAAGTCATGGTGAAGTATTCACTATGGATAAAACAATAAATGTGCTGAAGCCATGGTGAAGTGTGAAGAAGCCATGGTGAAGCATTCACTATGGATGAAACTATAAATGTGCTGAAGTCATGGTGAAGTATTCACTATGGATTAAACAATAAATGTGCTGAAGTCATGGTGAAGCATTCACTATGGAGGAAACTATAAATGTGCTGAAGTCATGGTGATGTATTCACTATGGATTAAACAATAAATGTGCTGAAGTCATGGTGAAGTATTCACTATGGAGGAAACTATAAATGTGCTGAAGTCATGGTGATGTATTCACGATGGATGAAACTATAAATGTGCTGAAGTCATGGTGAAGCATTCACTATGGATGAAACTATAAATGTGCTGAAGTCATGGTGAAGTATTCACTATGGATAAAACAATAAATGTGCTGAAGCCATGGTGAAGTGTGCAGAAGCCATGGTGAAGCATTCACTATGGATGAAACTATAAATGTGCTGAAGCCATGGTGAAGCATTCACTATGGATGAAACTATAAATGTGCTGAAGTCATGGTGAAGTATTCACTATGGATTAAACAATAAATGTGCTGAAGCCATGGTGAAGCATTCACTATGGATGAAACTATAAATGTGCTGAAGTCATGGTGATGTATTCACTATGGATTAAACAATAAATGTGCTGAAGTCATGGTGAAGTATTCACTATGGATAAAACAATAAATGTGCTGAAGCCATGGTGAAGTGTGCAGAAGCCATGGTGAAGCATTCACTATGGATGAAACTATAAATGTGCTGAAGTCATGGTGAAGTATTCACTATGGATTAAACAATAAATGTGCTGAAGTCATGGTGAAGCATTCACTATGGATGAAACTATAAATGTATGGATGAAAACTATGGATTAAACAATAAAAATGTGCTATGAAGTCATGGTGAAGTATTCACTATGGATTAAACAATAAATGTGCAGAAGCCCTGGTGAAGTATTCACTATGGATGAAACTATAAATGTGCTGAAGCTGAAGTCATGGTGAAGTATTCACTATGGATGAAACTATAAATGTGCTGAAGTCATGGTGAAGTATTCTATGGATTAAACAATAAATGTGCTGAAGTCATTAAACTATGGAGGAAACTATAAATGTGCTGAAGTCATGGTGATGTATTCACTATGGATTAAACAATAAATGTGCTGAAGTCATGGTGATGTATTCACTATGGATTAAACAATAAATGTGCTGAAGCCATGGTGAAGTGTGCAGAAGCCATGGTGAAGCATTCACTATGGATGAAACTATAAATGTGCTGAAGCCATGGTGAAGTGTGCAGAAGCCATGGTGAAGCATTCACTATGGATGAAACTATTGTCTATGGATTAAACAATAAATGTGCTGAAGTCATGGTGAAGCATTCACTATGGAGGAAACTATAAATGTGCTGAAGTCAATTCACTATGGATATATGAAGTCATCAAATCCACTATGGATAAAAAGTGCTGAAGTGTGAAGCCATGGTGAAGCATTCACTATGGATCAAAACAATAAATGTAAGGAAGTCTCAAAATGTTAAAGTATTCACTATGCAATAATTAAACAATAAATGTGCTGAAGTCATGGTGAAGCTATTCACTGGAGAAATTCATGTCCCAAAATAAAACGTATTCACAACTATTAAATGTGCTGAAGTCATGGTGAAGTATTCACTATGGATAAACAATAAATGTGCTGAAGTGTCATTCATTATTGTAAATTGCTGAATCTTCAGAAAGCAGGATCTGTAAACATTGTTTCATTATAGTATTTTATGGATTGAAACAATAAATGTGCTGAAAATATTTTTTTCATATTTTATTGACTGGAAATGTTGCTGTATACTAATATAAATAAAGACTTGTATAAAGTTTCGAACTCGAAATTGAAAGGGTACCGGATATATCGGTGCCGGAATTAGTCTCATTAATCAACACAAGGATATGAATATTGATGAGGAAAAGTCACGTGATACGTTCAGACGCGGTCAGAACCAAAACAAAAATGGAGGAAGATAAATGCAATCGATACTCTTAATATCCTGTATGGAAATCATCTAACGTATGTATTGATCACATCTTCCAATTCTTAGATATGAAACAAAAACGTGCAGATTACGAGAAAAACTACGATTAATTGAGAGGCCCTCAAACGGGGGCTACGATACGGTAACGAGCATAGAGGACATCGCGAAATGGATCTATCTAAAGCGAATATTCGATGATAAGAGTATTTATGAATATGATTTTAGAGTGATACTATAGGAGAGAGCCAAATAGAGAGCGATACAGAGTATGAACCAGCCATCTTCCTTCTTTTCGCCTCAGAGTCCGTCAAAACACGTTTTCTTCCCCGCTTCCCTCGCACGCTTTCTGCCATGTTGGAAGACGGCAGATTTATTTACAGTTCTTTGCGCATGCATCAGAGGGTAGGACTTCCCGCATAATTATGAATAAGCACCGAGTCGTTTCGAATTCTGTTTTAAATCTATTTATTACGGTAGATTGGTAGCGATTTACTTTAAAATTGCGGTATTACAGGGTTAGAACTTTTGCTATTCGAGAAAAATAGAAAGAAAATCATGATTTTTTTAAATATAAAATAATATCGGTCGAGGAGTGGGTCTGGCTCTTTAAATTCAAGGTGGTTATTTGTAAGCCATTTCGTTTCCTGATCTGTATAAAATAAAAAAAGGCTCAACTTTCGACGAATGGGAATCTTTGTGAAATCTAAGAAAATCCACCAAAACTTGCCAACAAAGAGAAATAACCTTATCTTCTTGGTGTAAATCCCAGATTTCCTTTCGTGAGCTGCATTTTTTTCTGATCCATCTCAAAATCAAACGGGCACAGCTAATAATGAAGGTAAATCTTCTTATGAAATTTGAGAAAGATCATCCAGCACTTCAAAATACAAGAGGTCCTGTATCGCTCACCTGGCTGTTTTTTTCTTTCTGAATTGCTTTATCGAATCTAAAAGAAAAAGAAATTCCAAAGGCTTTGATATATTTCCAAATTGAGTCCAACCCCTCTGCCCCAAGGGGTCAACAAAACCATTTTATAAAAATCTATTAGTGCCAAGATTGCTTAAGACAAATTTACGGAAGAATCCCGCTTTTCCTACAGAGAAAAACTTTTAAAGAATGTGCCCTTCCTCCCCAATTGGGCCATGTTTCTCCCGTAGGAAGGGGCAGAGACCCACTGCATGTATTAACTCATATGGCCTGAAACACTCATCTGGCTTTAATTGCTAAAGGACAAACTAAAGGAAATGGAATTGTTAATTTCTAAGCAAACAACGCTATATCTATTTCCCCATAAGATACAACTTCTGTCCTTAGGTGGTCAGCCAAACCATTCCTGCTTCCTACAAAATTATGACGGAAATGAATGAAAGTTAGAGAGATCCATTGAGTACTTCTCAAGAATAAGATAACCACCTTTCAGATACAAAATCCAAGAATGTCCCTTATTCAGAGGGGTACAACAGAGGGCCAAGAGAAACCTTTATACCAAAATTTGAGGAAAAACCTAATGATAACAAACTTTCTGGATCAAAATCCAGGACATCTCAAATTCTGGGGACCATGGGAGCCATACGAAATTTGACAAAAAAAAAAAAAACAACACAAAAACATCCAGTACTTCTCCAGAAATAGTAATAACAAACTTTCATTGTCAAAACGTGGTCACCTGTCAGCCATTTTGTTTTCTGATAAGTCTTAAAAACAAAAGGCACCGCTTAGGACCAAGGTGAACCTCCATATGAACGTTAACAAAGATCCATCCAGTACTTCTCATGAAAGAGTGATAAATATTATTACTGGACAGGGCGACATAGGGCGAGTGGAATAGAACCATCGGCTCAAAATAAAACAATCAAATCATCTTGCACAGAATAATTTAATAAGTCCTGGTAACAGTTGATCAAAATACAAATTTCATTTGTCATAACATACCCAAAAGGTCCCATCCCTCTCAATAAGTATAATAGAAAACAAAATGTCCACAAGACAGTTCTTATATAAATCACATTTATCTGTCAACAAAAGGGATCAAAAGCACTTTGATAAAGGGTTTACAAGTTTGAAGTTTGGAGAAAATTTTGCTGTTGATAAAGATTTGTTGATTCAATAAATTTCTCTGAGGTGGAATCTCTGTCAAGGAAAAGTCTTGCAGCAGTGGCCCTCTATAAAGATAACTGCACAATTGTAAGTTATTGTGCAACTGTATATATGCAGCAGTGATCCAGAGCCAGAAGCAATGTCTTTTTTTCCCCCAAGTCCACAGATCTAAGAACAGAACTGTTGGTAATGATGTTGTACAGGTTCAGACCAATCAGTGTCACCATCCTGAGGATCAACAGTCCTAAAATATCAAAACACTAGCTGCTTCACAGATTTAAAATTTATTTTCAGGTTTATTCGCAGGTTCATATCCAACAATTTTTCACCACCAGAAAGAGTGAAGCAGTCTGCCTTTAAGGGAGATAAGCCAGGCCATTAACACAGAAGAACAGCTTCAATCTTCAAGGAAGAAGTAGTTTCCAGTTTTCTTCTGCTCGGAATCCTGAAAATCAGATAACAAACAAAAGTAATATTTACTTGATGCTTCAATCTACTTCAAATTGGAACTATATCCTGAACATTAATGATAGAAAACTCAATATCAAGCAATTAAAAAACTTTGTGTTACTGCAGCTAAGACATAACCTTCCAACCAGAAAGACTGCACTCTTGGACAAAATCTGTATGGTGTTAATAAATTTTACAGATAGTGTTTCAATGAAAGTTCGGTCATGCTCCTAAATACATTATTTTACAAAAGTCACTCACTATTTCAATGCCTCCATTAGAGATTGAAAGTGGGACCTTGGACTTACTAGTCTTACTCTTAACTGACAGAACACAAAAGACATTGTAGTATTAAGTGATACACTTGCTAACAGAATAGAGATTCTGATAACACAACCAGTTGAAGATTTGTGTACACTAAGGAATGAAATAGTGTAATGAGAAGGTAAACAGATTATAGGCCATAAAAGTACCAATAATACTTGGTCATAAACGTGTGAGAGCCAGTAGCCCCCTTCGTCCCTGTTTGGTAGTGGCCTGCTTATGACAAAGTGTTCAACATATTTTTTGCAGTTTCAGCAGGCCAATTTAGTACTAGTAATAGTTAAACATTAATAAACACAATTTAAACACATTTATAAAAAGTACAAAACAAAAAATGCACACAGTTTGACAGAAATATTTTGAAAATGTGAACAAGCCAAACATTTTGATAATATCATTATTAAACAAGAGGCCTGGTGGCTCAGGTGACCTAAAAAAAATCCTGTGCCACTGAGATTTTGTTTTGTCTGATAATTTGCATTTTACAATGAGATCCTGTGCCTGGGCATGGTAAAGTGAACATCAAAACTTACATACTACAATATCTTTTAACACCTGACATTTGAACATCCTAAAGAAAGGTTTGTAATGCATGCTTGAATTCTATATTGTATGTGAATACGCATGACGTCTTGATTATCTTCCGACTAAGATGAACCTACCTTGACTGATTTACGTTTGTTGATCCTCGGTCGATAGTTGTTGGGGTCTCTTCTGAAGGTGATCTCCAAGGACATCAGGAATTTGTTCATTCCATTCAACAATGACTGTGGTCTACAAACAGACAAGTTAATCAGTGTTTTGACTGCTTATCTGATATAAAATCATTTTAATCACCAAATCTTACAATACTTAAATTTTTATCTTTCCTCTTTTCATCTGATACAATACTGAAATCACCTTATAAACACTAACAAGACCTAGACTAATCACTTTCTATGAATTCTGATTTCACTAAACATAAATCTTCTCAGTCTTGTTTAAATATAAATACAAACTATAGATTAATTTTGCTAGGGGTAAATTCTAATCTACGACACTAATCAACATCAAGTTAGGATTTATAATTCATTTATATTTCATTAACTTAAGCAAGTAGAAGCCATGATGAATATTAGAAAAAACTAACGCATTGGCCCTGGTTTTAATGCCCGGATTTCCATCAAATACTATCACACGGTCAGCAAGATAGGTAGCCATGATGAAATCGTGCTCCACCACAAAGGCAGTCTTCTTAGCATGCAAAATAAATCTGTAGCAGAAAAAAGAAACTATGAAAAATTGATCAAAAATAATATTGAAACTATTTCAAATAATCTGTAAAGTTTTTTTGCTTCTAATCTTTGATGACTAAATTATTTCTTAATAAAATATTAACATTTTCTATTGAGTATAATTTATAAGGTGTCTGAAATAAAACACCAATTCTTTGTAAGGAAATACAAAATTTAAAGTGTCATCTTAACCTATTTTTTCTATTAAATGTAAAGTTTTGTATATAAGGTGACTGTATCGAACCTTTTGATAACTTTAGCAGCATGAAGACGCTGCTCTGAGTCGAGGTAGGCAGATGGTTCGTCTATCAGGTACACATCAGCTGGTTTTCCAAGGCATAGGGTCAGGGCCACCCGCTGCAGCTCTCCTCCAGACAAGTTCTGTACCTGTGGTAAAAGTGAAAATTTGTGGTTTAAATTTGTACTCAGCACTGTGCATATGTCTTTATTCCTTCTTCATCATATACTGATAGAATTTGAATGAATTGGAAATGTATACTTTTCTCCTTCCATTTCAATGGAAATGAAGCTGAACAACTTAACAACAACTAAATCTTCAGTAAAGATGGCTCCAAAATTCTAAATGTTGAAATGCTAACCTCTTGGTCCATTATGGCCTCAATAAGCAGGGGCTTCATCACATCAGTGACAAACTGAGGATGAATATAGGCATCTCGTATCCTTTCATGTAGCAATTGTCGTACTGAACCTTGCGATTTTGGACTAATTTTCTGTGGCTTGTAACTCACATTCAGCACTGGACACTTTTCTAAAACATCAAGAATGAAAATGTGTTTTATGGATACAATTAAGATATGATGCTTTCCTACAATAAAGATATAAAATGTTACGCTACAAACTGCCATTGTCTTCAATGTTACTTAATGGCAGTGTTGTTTCTGAAATCCATATTTAATATAATATAATATAAATTTAATTTGCCTACAAATTTATCTTTACCGTTTGTATCAGGTTCCAGTTTGCCAGCCATCATTCTTATAAAGGTTGTCTTCCCTGTACCATTTTCTCCCAACATCACAATAATTTCTGAGTCAGTAAATTGGCCTTCAACAACACTCATTTCAAAATTACCTAAGGAAAAAAGAACACATACGTAAGTTTAAAATATACTGAGTAAATCAAATTTCATCCTCTCAATTTCAAACTTTGATTGTCTTAACCTCTCAACATTAGAAAGCACACAGTCAAACTTTCCCATAATCACTGAATATGACCATGTCATATTTTTACATATCACACAGGCAATATAGCTGATTGTGACATCACTTAAAATGACTAAATGACTTAACACATTCACAGATCACTGCTGGAGCTAACTTCTTACATGCCAAACTAGAAAGCACACAGTCAAACAATTATCCCATAATTGCCTGGTTTTTCACTGAATATGACCAAGTCATATTTTTACATATCACACAGGCAATATAGCTGATTGTGACATCACTTAAAATGATCAATAAAACGTCTGATTATTTATTTTATGCATGTTACTTTCTGATAAACGATCCATAATCATTCTTGTACATGTTATTTATTGTTATTTTGTAAATAAAACAGAATGAAAATGTTGTGTTATTTTGTATATGCATGGGTCACACAACATGTGACAAAGTCAAACAAAATATAGAGCAAACATGACATCAATTCTGGAAACTATAATAAATAATCATGTTTGGTTCATTTGCTTGGCTTTTAAGAACACAAAGGAGATATGATATGAATTGTCAGAAGGAAAAAAGTGTCATTTCCTCTATATCTCTGTAATGTCCGCACCCCCTTTTTTGGATTGATTTTCGGTGAAAAAAAGTGCGGACATTACATGGGTTTTTACGGTAGATATGTTCATTTCAAACCATATTTGTTTGAAAAATTTATCATGCAATAAAAAGGATCTTAAAATTGTTTCCATTGATATGTGAAACTTGTCGTGATATTTTTCATTTTAACTCGCCTTTAAAAATGAAAACTTCCTGGACTTGTTTCATAAGTCCACTCATGTAAGATCTCATAATTATGTGTGTGGTATGTAAAACCGAGATATTGTAAATATTGTTTTTTTTTTTTTATCATTCACATTAAATTATGCATTTTTTTCAGTGGAAACACATACTTCAAATAGTAATAGAAATAAATTTACAACTCGACAAGCATGAAGTAGGAATTCTACTTCTTTCCAAATGAGGGTAAATGTTCCATCTTCAATGTGTATTCCTTGCCTGGTGTAAGTGGGAAATGCCTGACAGAGTTCCCTTCATAAAAGCGACCCTCACCTTCGTCCGTAGAAAGTGTAATGCATATTCAATACTTACCAAGCTTTTTTGACATTGTTGGATACTCGTAACGACGCATCCTCTTAATCTCCTCCTCCATTGCAGTTTCAGCCACCTTGAATGTTAGTGAAGATTCTCTGAATCTTAAATTTTCCGTAGGAACAAATCCATCAAGAAATATGTTTATACCTGAAAGCAAATAAATCTTAAAAGTAATTTGTTCAGAAATATGTCTATAATGTTCTTAATATGGGCTAATAACTATACTTGTTGGTAGTTGATGAAAAATAATATAATAACATCTATTGGGTAAGTAAATAAAGAGGCAATGGGATGAGAACACCAAATGTCACCAGAACACTAAGGTGCTCTCCAGTAAGGCAACGCATTGTGATAGGAATTGTCACGGAGACAAAACACAAAGCACCCAGTGAACAACCATTCAGTAATTTATTGTAATTCTATTGAAAAGCAACAGACATGGAGTGGTTATTACCTAAGAATTTTGTACATACCTTCTCGCACACTGAAGGGCATAGTGACGACACCATATGCTCCTGGGACACCATAGAGACAGCATATAAAGTCTGACAGATAGTCGAGGACAGATAAATCGTGTTCCACAACAATAATGTACTTTGTTGGGGCAATGAGGTCTCGAATTGCAATAGCAGCTTTTAATCTCTGTTTTACATCCAGGTAACTAGATGGTTCATCAAACATGAAGCTACAAGCAAAATATATTTCATCATCACAAATCTATTAATCTTAAAAACGTATCTCACATATCATTACTACAGCTATAAATTCACTGATTAAACAAAACAGTGATGTACTTTTCAGGTCAAACAAAATCCCAGTATGATGGCCTATGCCTGTGAAAGCAAACTGCAGACTGATAATTGAAAAATACCATTACTTCTCTTCAAAACTGAAGGGGGAAAATTAATTCATCTCATTTTTAGCATGCTGCTTATTGGTTTGAAAAATTTAGAAGCACATGAAAAGTTGAGTTGATCAGATATCTTGTACCTATCAGAGTAGACATGTACTACCAATATCAGCAACAAGGTTTCGCATTGTACCCAGTGAAACTTTTATGAATGATTCAAATTTCTTCATGTATCAATTTTTTTGTCTAGTTCTGAATTTCATGCCTGTATATTACTACTAACTTGATCCTTTATAAATGGAAATTTTATAGATCAAACTTTTAAAGATATTGAAGTTTTTCACAGACCTGTAGCTATGATCACACAGTCATTGACACCTCATGATTCAAAACATTTACCTGTACATTTACCTGTACTGAGGAATTATATCTTACGTACATGTCTGCTTCCTGTATACACACAATAGCACAGGCAAATCTTTGTAGTTCTCCTCCAGACAAAGCTTCTACATTTCTGTCTCGTACATGAAGCAAATCTGAGAAAATCAAATAACAGTCAAATTAATTAACTTCTGTCAGAAATGTCTTATCTGGTAACTTGTACAATCTAACACATTGGAAGGATTAAAGAGAGTGTCCGCATGCAAAGTTTTTTCCCGGATAACATGCTAGTTCCTAAGTGTTGGATCATAAAGGAATTGCCATTTCCACCAGTGTTCTGTAGCTTTAAATTTTTGTACCTAGTTGTTATCAGATTTCAATATTTGCCAGGCCCATGGCGACATATAAGTGTCATTAATGAATTCAAAGAATTTTTTAACTGTGACCTATGACCCTATTCTGATGTCATGATGAAATAAAATGGCAAAGACATAAGGATATGCATTTGGTACTGATCATGAAGCCTCAGATATTTGGAAGTTTTTCACCACAGAATGTCTGTATGTGAACAGCATTACCAGATTCATCCCTGGCTTTGTAAAATGCACATTGCAACAATGTACAACACTTGAGATAAATAACTGAAATTATGTCAAGTAATGCATAAACATGAAAAGTACTAGAGAATAAACATTTTACAAAACGTTTCAATGGCAATAAAATACTGTACTGGTTATATTTACAGGGATATTTTTGCGATTTCGTTGTCACAAAAACTTAATCCATGAAATAATGAGGCAGGTGTGTATTTGTTGTACTCTTAAATTCAGATAGCGAAACTGTGAATTGGTTGTAATTTAGATTAAAAAGCTTTAAAACCAAATTGTGAAAATTTTGACCAGAGAAAATAACCAGCTCTACGGTAGTCTAAGCATTTCTCCATGTAAAGTTAGTGAAGATCAGAAAGTATATTCTGTATACATAGCGAAAAAAATAAAATGTTATTATAAATAATTTATCACCAAAAATCAACTTTCCGTTTCTAATAGTTTAAGGCTGTTTCAAAAAGACTTCAGTTAAATTGGAAATTCACACCATGATTGAGTCTGAATGTGAACAGCATTTCCTTTTCTTCATCATGAGTCACTCTATACAGGCTTGCATAAAAACCATAGTGTCAGTATGATATTTTTCCATTCTCATTTACACTACTTTTCTGTATACCATCTCCCTTTTTAAAAATAAAAAAACAAAAGGTTTTTATTTCAAATTCTAGAAGTATTTTTCACAAAACTTACAAATAGGGGTAAAGTGTGATTTCGTTCCTTTTTGTGCATGTTATACAATCTTAATACCTAAATATAGGGCCAGAATCTATAAATTCAAGGCCTTTAGGGCACTGTATGTGATTTTCATCAAGATCATCATCTTAAACCTTTTTCAAATATTTGGTGTAGTCAATGCAAAGCATGTCCAATTTGATATGCTTTGTAAGAGAATGGAAACAACGCTTTGGATTGTCCCCTATTTTTCTTATTTTAGACATCTGCAGTCAAAATATAATTAAAATGTTGAATTAATAACAATTTTCAGTCTTCTCAATTGGATGTTTATGTTTTACAATAGATACAAGAAATATCTTTGATATGAAGAAAAAATTAAGGACTTATTGAACTGTAAATTCTGGATCATATTATCAGACTTTATGGACCTAGTTTGTAAATTCAAGACTAAAAGTTCAAATTTGACCTCAGAATAAAGGAAAATCACATCATAACAAGTCAGAATGTGAACAGCATAATCCAATCATCAGTGGTCATATAAACTAATCACATTGTTTACTGTTGTATAAAACACAGGCTGGTATATAGGGATTTTCAGAAAAAAAAAAAAAAAGAAATAAATATTTTCACACATTTCAAGGATAAAGGTAAGGAAAATTTATTCACATTTTGAAATCTCTGCAAGTTTGGATTAACAATATTACATCTCAGTTAATGGTATTCAAATCAATAGTTAAGTTTTAAAATTTGTCCCTAACTCAAGTAGATAAATAACGAATAATGGGAAATCCAACATTCCTATGTTGAATATTGTGGTAGTCTCCTTAATTACAACAAAACCCTACCTTTAACTTTCCGAGATTTAATGTGGTTTATATAATTCATAAAGATCACATGATAAGAATGTTACTCAGTGAATACACCCAAGTAACATTTTGCCTATGAATATGTGGGCATGACTTATTGTGACGTTAGTTATGGATAATGAAACAAGGTCACTATGAAGAACATAGATAGCTCCATTATCAACTATCAACACAAATAGGAAAAGAAATTGTTTCACACTGGTGACGATGTAACCCAGCCATCTTACCTAACTGAGCACACACTTCCTCCTGGTTTTTTTTGTCATTCTTCTTATCCAGAAGGAATTGTACAGAACCCTACAACAAAAACCACTGATGAGAAAACATGCTATATACATTACAATGCCATAGCTACTCAAGAAACAGTAAACTTATGGATATCAAGTCATGGGCAACACTTCATTTACTAACATCATATCTCTACTGACTCTATGGAGTCTCAATGTTTTATTGTGCTCTGTTCAGTATCAATATTTAAGCATTCAAACTTGATATTTATCATAAAGGTCAAGAAATTAACAGATACACAATCAATGGTTAAAAAATCCAGATTTATCTCAAACTCAAGCTTTCTGGGATACCCTTGTATGTAACGAAAAGGAGTCTCATTTTCGGGAAAAGTGTTTCATCATGAACATCTGTATCCATATTTAATCATGAACTCCATAGACAAAAATATAAACTGTATGGTTGGTGAAACAAGTTTGAAAATGACATTCTGAAGATTTATTCATCAAACATAAAATCTAAAATATATTGTTGCTGCCTTAACGTTATCAATATTTTTTTTATTTTCTACTTTTTTCTGCCTTGTTTTTGTTTTATTTTCACTGTTTTTTTTTTCATTTTCCACTATAATGATCTAGTTTGTATACACATATGTACAATTGCAAATACCTTGTTTGTACCTAACAGAAAGCACAGACAATTAAGAATCTGATGGAGTCTCACTTTCGGGAAAAGTGTGTCATCATTAACATCTGTTTCCATATTTAATCATTAACGCCACCAGATAAAAAGCTTAACAGAATGGAAAACTACCTGGAATTTTTCTAAACAAATTCGACAAACATTTTTACATTGCTGCTTCTCTTTAGTTTTGTGTATTTTTGAGTTGTTCATTGAGATTTCTATTTTTCTATAAATACTTACCTATTTAAGCCCAGTCAACAAATAATGAATAATCTTTCCACTGAATTTGAAATATTACTTTCTCAAATGATCAGTTAATAATACTGTGAGCCCTTTTGTATCGAGATTTATTGAGCTAATTCAGTACTCAAGGCACACAACTTCTGTAAACACAAGTGTACAGTTATTACTTGGTACTTTCACGAAATCGCATGATTACTCCACAAACGTAAACATCACCCATGTCTGTACCTAGATTTGAAACATCTCAACTAGCATCCACTCAATATCCCTCTCAACAAATAAATCTTTACTCTTTAAGACACTTTGAGACAATTTGCTTCTGATACCATCTTAAATGCTATTATTGGACTTGTTGTAAAAACTACAATAGAGAAGAGTCTGATGGAGTCTCATTTTCGGGAAAAGTGTGTCATCATTAACATCTGTTTCCATATATAATCATTAACTCCACCAAATAACTATTGAAATAAACTATTACTTAAATATATCAAGGTGAAGAAGTTGGTTGATTCCATGCCATCATGCATACTCTCCCCATGTTAGTGCTAATATGCTTCATGCTGGTCATTTGAAAGATGGAGCAGTGCTCCAGATAGCCTGCGTGAATGCGTTTTCACGCACAATATTTCTAATTTCACGCTAGGAAAAAAATAAGATTTGCGTCATTAACCCGTGCGAAATCCTCTAGAAAACTCAATAATCAAACAGACACTTATCAAGTGCTAATATGTGATTATAAACCAGTCGCATAGCAAATATGGCGCTGTCAAAAATGTTTACAAATTCAGTGTTATAATAGGTCACAGTGTTGTCAAAAAGTTATCTGGAGCACTGATGGAGGTCACAGTGTCCTATTTAAATCTTCTACTGGTTGTGTTATAAGAACTACTATGTATATAAACAAAAAGTAAAACTAGAGGGAAATGTGAGGCTCAAAGGTTATAACATTTAAAATTTTGATGAAGCACGTTGGGACCTACCCAGCCAGGGAGAGTTTTTTATTCGACAGATGTTGCAAGAACTTCCACTCATATTTCACCTTACTAGAAATGTCCTAATAGTAAAGGTTCTGCCTTATAACTAGAAAAGTGTCAAGACATGAATGCTACTTGAATACTCTCATATAAATTCTATCAAAGTTGTAGCCATGTTATTAAATCATGAACTCTGCAATAAACCATGAATAAGTACTTCTTGAACAAATGTCTACGAAACACATTTGCTTCTTGTAAATGAACAAATAAAACCGTTTTACATGAAATACTGGTCGATGCATATTTCCATAAGTTACACTGAGAAGATTTGATCATTTTATATTTGTGCCACAGACACAAATAAATAATTTGGGTTCATTTTATTACCTTGACTGCTTTGGGAATCTGATCAACATACTGAGGTTTTGTTACAGCTTTCAAATCATCTTCTAAGATTTTGGTGAAGTAGTTTTGGAGTTCTGACCCTCTAAAGTATGTTAGGATCTCTGTCCAGTCAGGTGGATCCTGTAACAAAGGGAGATAACTTTGATTACGAGAGCTGACAGGCAATATCTGTTATTACAGCCTTTCAGTTGACCAGGGTGTATATTAATCCGAATAAAATCCCAGTAACATTCAGATAGAACAAATTATTGCCTTTGTAGGATTAGTGATGTCTGTTTATAATTCTATTTCTCTTTATAAATCAATTTAAGCATTTAATACTTTTTTTTGTTTTGTAAGAAATAAAATTCATAATGTTGTAAAGTTTTCAATAAAAGAACTCCAATTTTCTGTATAAAAAGGAAAATATAGAAAATTAAAGATCAATGTAGCTCTCCAATTTTTCTGTTTAAGATTCACTCTGAACAATTTTGTGTAGCTTTACATGTGTAGGTGTATGCATCAAGGAAGAGCAATCTAACAAGTGTCCATTATACACAGACTCCAATCAATTTTCTTTCAATATCTACATAGTCATATTTATGCAAACTGATGTCTACAATAGAGTGAAATTGTAATAACTTGCATTAAATTTTCCAAGGTTGGGTTTCTGTTTTCCAGCCAGAATCTTCAGTGCAGTTGACTTGCCTATACCATTGGTCCCAACCAACCCCAGCACTTCACCTGGTCTTGGTATCGGCAACCTGAGAAACAAAACAAGATTTACATAACATGTCTTTCCTGTTTCACTTTGGTAGTATGATCATTTTTATGTGTCCCTTCTCCAATACCAAATTTCATAATTCATTTTAATTAATATGTTACAACCTTAGATGTCCTCATATTTAATTATGGACACATAGTAAAACATCAAATGAAAATCTTCTAAGTTCTTCACTTCTCAAAATTCCCTGAAATATTGACATTTATACCTCCCAAAATATCACTTCTCCTGAGGAAGAGGAAAACTTGTGTGATATTTTACAGAAATTATTTCAATATGACTTAGCTAAATCTGAGGTGAATAGAGGAAGCCATAGACTTTGTAGTCAATTCTCAAAAAAAAAAGTTTTTTCACAAAAATACACACAAACCCTACTTCCATATCACTATCAAGCACAGAGAGAATCTGTAAGGTACAGGTGTAGTACTAATACTCGTGAAAAATAAGACGACCACAAACAGAACTTGACTTGACTTGCATCTTCTTCAACCAGGCCTGCCTTAAGTGCCATCTTTATCAAATACCTGTTGATAAAGCTCATTGGTATTCAACTTTTGGGTCCCAATCTTTTAAAATACAAACATATAAACCTCTATATAAAGAACACCAGCCTTTAAAGGTCACTTTTCTTTACTTCCAGGAATTCTTTTTATGAACAGGTTGATAAGAAGAAACTAATTACTGAGCTCTGAAAACAAGTTGACTGGAACTTGGGACCAAACATGTCATTTTCAATTCACTATCCCTATCCAGCTGTTAGAAAACTAGTGGAAACTGATAATTTCTTGAAATTTTCTAAGTTCAAAGGTCACATAACTCTGGAAAACATAATTTGGAAAACTAACCAAATACCAAACTGACCTGCATCTTCTCTCACGATACAACTACATATCAAATTTTAGTTCAATATCGCTGTCCATTTTAAGAATCAATCAGCAAAAACCATGCTTCACAGAAAGAATGCAAGAAAATCAAACTGCAAAGGAATGAAGATAAGGAGCAACAGTAATTGTCATTTCATGGTGGGGGTAAGACAAACAGATTATTGCTTACATTTATTTGAAAAGGTAAAATGAAATTTAAACATAGATGGTCAGTTCCATAAAAAAATATTGAAGGAATCCATAGTCTTGATAGAACTGAAACACAGTTTTACCTGTGTAGTTTAAAGGAGTTTGCACTGTATCTGTGAGTGGTATCCTTCTCCAAGTTGCTGGGAAGGTTAATGATAGAAATAGCTTCAAATGGGCATTTCTGTAAAAAAATAAAACATTTTTTTTAATGATTTTCATGGACCATGTAAACAACCACAACTTCAGGGCCTTGTCAGGGATCACTTGCAAATATCTAATATATAAGACTAACTTTAAACAAGATAGTCTTTTAGTACCTCCATGGTCTAGTGTAATTATACAAGGAATAATATGTTAACATTATTTATTCAAATGCCTTCACTTTGGGAGAACCTGTGACCTCTGGCTCACTTGTTTAACACTCAACCGATTAAACTAAAGAGAATTTCTCTCCAGCCAAATGGTACAAATTGTGACTGGTATTTTACCAGGTTTACATATGATCCACAAAATTTTACTGAAATGTGTCAAATAGCACATCCTTTTCATTACATTCTATTTAGAACCTAGATAATTGAATGTTGATGAACTCCATGTCTGCAACAAGACAAAAGTGAAACATGACTGAAATAGCCAAGCTACAGTCAAATATTTACTGTGTCACAAGGTTATGTTTAGCTTAATGTACAACTATATGAGGAGTAAGAAATGTTTAAAGTCCTTTAAAATCACTGACTTTACATTTTATACTTATTCCTTATAATGTATCCAAATACATATATAAAATCTCATGTCTGTTGGACTTCTCCTATAGCAGTAACATAGCTAACAGCAAAGAGGAACCAGGATATTGTATGAATAGATATCAGTCAGTAAGGATCTACAGAGACATTCTAATTTACTGATGTTACAAGGGAATCGAAGTGCCTACTGCCTTCCCTTCCAGTGTATAGTTTTGATGTAAATGTTTGAAGCCAGACGATGACAAACTAACCTTTGCACAAATACCACAACCTATGCATAGTTCTTCTGATATGAATGCAAGCTTATCTGCCGGTGATACTTCTATACACAGTTTCCCTGTAAATAAAATAATAACAAAATTACAGCCTACCTATTGAAAACAATGTATCAGAGAGAATGAGCATACATCCTGAATAAGGAATCAGGGATGGTTCAATATATGTTGTTAAAATATGTTTGTTATGAATCTCTTATCTGCTTCATTACACACTTTAATTTGAAAAACAAAATTTGGAAATGATTGAAGTATTAAAACCAATATTCATTATGAAGAATGCATTACATGTAATTAGCACAGACATTTCAAGATATTTAGTAATAGAACACAATAAGTGAGCATTGTATTTATACAACCTACTGTTAAAAACACACATCTATCAATTATCACTGCATCATTTCTATCAAGAAATCTTTGTTACTCGATCTGGAATTTTTAAAACTATTCTTGAACTTGTGTGTATGTATCTATCGCCAGAAAATAATTAACAAAATACAGTAGAATTAAAAAGAAACCTGTATTTTAAACCACAGAAAAACTTAAATCATAGCTGTTCTGTCCACCTATCATAATGTTTAATCATTTCTTTGGTACACCAGTATTTCAAATCTGATTTGAAGAATGAATATTCAATTAGATTTTATTTTTCAATGAATTAGGATATTGATTAAACACACTTTATAATGACATTATTAATTAAACAAAAGAAATAATCAAGAAAATGAGAAACTCTGTGTTAGAAATTAATGCTTCATTCACTCAACCAAATGTTTTGTAGGAAAAATATTACTGAAAATGGATATTTTACCAACTTTATCTTGTCCTACACATTTAACACAGACAATCTGAATATAATGACTTCGGTAATAATATGGAATTTTGTCTAAATGCAATAAATGCTCTCCAAGAAAAAAGCAACTCTCAAATATTTTCATTTTAAGTGAAAATAGAATACAGTATATATACTTTAAGATTATAAACAGTTTAATGGAATGTTTCATTAATAGAGCACATGTGGGAAGGGACAACAATGTATGTCGATGAATCAATTGTAAGTGTTTTTATATAAACATATTAATCATTGTATACTAATTCTCTATGGGGATATTATATTCCATCATGACAGACTATATTGACTATTATCACTTTATCTAACTAACAGAAATTCAAGTAATGATCAAATATCACCTACTTCGAAAAAATTTCAACTCGTCCAATAACTGATTGAGTTTTAATTACAGTAATCAATGGCAATTTTTCTGATTCCCTGAAACTTTTTTTTCGGTGCGTTGTTATTTCTTATTTATACATACCCATTCTGACAACAGGACATGCCTTCTTGCACTCCTGTCGACATTTTTTTGGCTTGCATTTGTCAGTGCTTACAATGGCAATACGTGTCAATTTGTCCGAGGTTGCACCTCCTTTTGACATGTTGCTGGATGGGCAACTGCTGAAAAATAATGTTTAAATACATTGTTGATGTACTTTTATGATTTATAGCATTAATTCTATAAATTTTAGAGCATCTATTACAAATCCCTACCATATGTTATATATTCAGCATCCACGTCTTGTCTACCTAGACACTTAAAAATGAAAAATGCTACCAATGAAATGACCAAGAAAACAAAACACTAAACAGACTTTTGAAAAAGATAGATAGTAAGTACTAACAGACAACAACATCTCTATAAGGACATTTAGTTTCACCGGCTACTCAATCGTGTTTTTGGTTGTCATATACGTGGTGAAGAAAAAACAAAAAGTATGGCCTGTTTCAGACTTCAGGAGAATTTGTAATAATATAAATCAATTTTCATCATATGCTACCTACCAATTGTCAAAGATTTAATATAGTACACTGTTCCGATTTAAAAGTTATGCGTAATTTATTTTCCCACCGTCGTGGCTGATTCGGTGGGAAAAAATGGCCGCCTCCAGAGGAAGCATGCTGCTGGCGTAATAGATGTGATCCATGTTATCGAGACGCTTAATTGTCAATCTAATACAGTTATATATGAAACCAAAAAACGTATATTATGTATTTATGGTATATATCTATATATTTTTACACGCGACGACGTTATGGGTGTTAAAGACAATTTATTTGAGTAAGAAAGTAACTTTTTGATTCGCATTTCAAACACACAAAAGACGTGATTAGATACCGGAACAAATGTTAAAGGGGGATAACTCTAATAAGTTGCAGGAAAGTACTGCATTAAATTAAACTGATCATCATGCATCTGTTTCCTGGCCAAAGCCTTATTTTTGAAATACATGAGCCGACTGATGAAAATACAAAGTGGTCAACTGTATCAAAATCTAGATGGACAGATGCATTAGCCTATAAATGAAATAAATTGTTGAAGACCGTGAAGTCCACGTTTATATTCCGTAAAGGGTTATGCTGAGTCCGCCAGTTGTGTCTGCCACTTGCAATCTTGAAGATTGTACAAAAGGTAAAAAGTGAATATTTAGACTAAATTTAGATACATTAATATAAGAGCCGAACAGTGAATTTTACTGCGCTATATTCCTAAGACTCAATTCATGATTTGAATCTATTCCGAATGGGATGATGGCGGCCATGGCCATCCTGATTGAATGAAATCAATTTGTTCGTAAACGACAAACATCTTCTTTATCCTGTTACTGGCGCTGTCATTGTCGGAATACGCATGCCACATACATTTTTGCTGTATTCGACAGCTGTAGGTTAGCATTACTTACTTATGTTGTCTCTGCCTGCAGGACCTGTTGATCCTCTATAGGCAGCTCCAATTTATCATAATTTGTGTTTGTTGTCCTTCTGATGTCTGCTCCATAGTTTTCCGTGTGATTATATCTCAGTGAGTGTTTGTTCCAGTAGGCGTCTAGTCTATTTTTGAATTGGTTTGTTGTTGTTGCTCTCACTACCTGCTCCAGGAGGCTATTCCAGGTATCCACTATCCCGTGTGTGGAGCCGTATTTCCTGATGTCCCAGTTGCACTACTGTTTATTGAGTTTTAGTGAATTCACCCTGGTATTCCTGGCTGTATTGAATTTCAGTAGATGTTCAGTTACTTTCTTATCATATATTCCCTGTATTATTTTGAAGACCTCGATCATGTCGCCTCTCATTTTTCGATATTTAAGTGTTGGCATCTTTAAGTGTTTTAATCTCTCTTCATAGTTCATGTCTTTTAGCTGTGGTAGCATTCTTGTTGCCCTTCTCTACACATTCTCTAGTAGCTGCGTGTCCCGCTTTCCGTATGATGCGTGAATTCGACGGAATTAATTTCTGAATTCACTTAAAAAGTACGTTTAACAATAAAACAGCGGCTGTTGAATTAAGCGATTTTATATGTGTAATTATCAAGCTTATTTACGAAAAATTCATAAAGTTTTAGCCACATCAGACGAAATTTGGAACTATATTTCTGCACGGAAGAATTATTTTGGCGTACGTCATTAGGCAAAATTCAACGCAACGTCATGCAACGACAGGTAAACAAAGATTGAGCAAAAAAGTGTCGAAGTTTGGATTGTCTGATTTGCAGTCAATGTTGCAGGATAGGTAGAATACATAGCGAGGTTGAAGAGAGACAAAATGCAGCTTATATTTTAAGACACTGACCAGGTATTATCTATGTTTTCTTTCCTTTGATAATCAAAACGCTACTCTCGGGCGTCGGAAATAGTACATTAAACAGAGTTGTCTCCCTTCCCATATCTTTCCAAAGAAAATCGTATGTTCCTTGAAATAGCCTAGTTCAAGTACCTCTTGATTTTTTTTAAAAAGAGATCAGAGATTTTTAAAGAGTGATCTCCTAACATTCTGTAAACTTTGCTGTGATGTACACTGTGTCTTGCTCTTATTTGAATATGAAGAAAAGTTAGGACTTAATTAATTGATACATTTAAGAACATATTTGTTTACAAACCTAAATAATATTTCACGTTCAAACTAATCATAGTTTGCAGAAAATAATGTCAGTTGGGAATTAAACGGTTTAATTATACAAACATAAAGAGCTATTAACATCATTTATAACAGAACTACTGACATTACAAAACAGTTCGACAGACACCGTATTCAAATCAACCAATCAATATCAAAATAATCAACCAGCAGCAATAGCATGGTGTATGTATAGGTAGTTCATACATACTCACAGTATGTAAATGTTTGTTTGTAACTAAACGGAGAAAATCAAGTACAGTGAAGCACAATTTGATAGTTTTTCTTTTCTTTAGTTGTCTACATTACAGAGACAATGTCACACGACAGACTGGGTAATAAACTTTTAATGATATATTTGCAGCATTGGTTTGTTTTGTAAGTAACAGATGTTCCAACTCTGTGACTCTTCCTGTTGGTAGTCGTTGTATCATTGGAGATATGACTGTCCTTCTATTTGGCTGTTGGCAACGTTCTGTACCGCATGAAGATTATTCGTTTCAGTAAAAGGTGAATCCTGATTAAGTATATCCGGTTTGTGATATGTCAGGAGTTCCGCTACGCCCTATCGATTTAATCTTTTTAGTGCTTGTGTGTTCGCTGACTTGACCAAATTTTCCCATAAGTTTCATTGGGATATATTGCGGGCTAGGATCTAAAGTTGAAAAGTACATAACTATCATTTTATAACCTGCCCATACCAACTGTATTTGTAACACATTTGCAGATAGAACTGTTGTCATATTAAGGTCTTTGTCCCCACTTCCCCGCCCCCGCTTCTATTTTTCCTTAATTTTATGTTCGTTTCTCTCCTACGTTATGTATACCAAATCGCTTTCTGCATGGTTTACGATCACTGACGATCTCTTCACAAAAAAAAAAAAATTAATGAATTAGGATACAGACGTCCCTCGTTTATGTTGGATTCCCACTTCACAAGAATCCATAGCAACAGCATTTCATTGCTGGCTGGTCTACCATTCACATTTATATCTAATCGTGATTGAAGTGCTATCATAATGCCATTTACTAGCCATGAAAAGAGTGGAATGAATGGTATCTGATATTTAACAAGTCTACAGAGCTTTTAACCAATTTTGAATACATCTCATGAAAATATCCTCTGTAAGAACGTTTGTCTTTTATATTCAATACACATTCAAATCATATCGAAATTATACTGATAATTTCGCGGCTCTATCATACACTGAAATACCAGACCTTGTATTGTTGTGTATCATAGAGGAGCGGAATTAACTGTCAGATTTCCATTAAATTCGTACACTATCATACCTCATTTCAAACTCAAAGAACGCTTTCATTCTCTGGCCACGAGAGCTTTCTTTTCAAAGAAAAGTGAAGGGCCTTACAAGTAAATGGTTGCGAACTACACTGCATGAAGTGTATTTTGTTCAAAGGATGTCCAAATCCCCAAAGAAAATTAATAAGGACCAAATTATGATAATGGTATACTTCGTGTTAGATAAAACTTTCTTAGAGTTTGTTGTTACAGAATATTGAAATACTCATTGGATCAAGCTGTGCACCTCTCTTCGCTGAAGTATTTCTGTTTTAATACTGGGTAAAATTGACCGAAAAGCTTTTCAAAAGCAGGTCACTACGACCTTCCCGAGGCCTTAAATTTCAGATCAAGGTATAGTGATTATGTTTCGTCTTTAAATAACAAGATAGCTGTTGAAACCACGGCCATATTGAAAACGTACTGACTGGCGCTTTATACATTACACTACCAATATTAACGGAAACTTTCCTACAACGACTGATAAAAATAAAAACAGCCTTCTTCCAATGACTGGAATGCTGACTTTAAGGTATTTGATTATTTATTGCACAGGAAACTACACTATAAATTCGGTAAGTCTTAAACAAGCTGTATTGGATTCACCTTCAATTCAATAGGCCCCTAATTTCTTCTTTTCAGAAATTCAGGAAGACATGTTCTACAACGTTTGGGTTCGAACTCGCGACCTTTCTGTCTCGAGGAAAATTCCCGCTACCTGAAGCTGGTAAGTTGACATGTGCTCGTCTTTCTTTTTTAAAGGAGACTTACAGGAACAAAAAACGATAATATATTTCAATATATCCCAGACATTGGAGTTCAACAGTAAATAGCTACGACAACATGTTCTAACCCCTACTTAAAGGACATTCCCAGTACCCTAAGGTCGTTAGTTAGCCTATCGTACTACTGCTGACATATTTGAGCAATAGAATAATGGCAATCGTGGGATTTTCAATTAAATAATTCATTGGTAAGTGATCAATAACAGTATACGTAAGGAAATAATGTACACCAATTATGTAAATTATGTAAAAATATACATTTAATAACGTCAGTTCTATGAGGAAATTACAGGGTGCAGTATTTTCCATGTTCCCAACTACAATGTGAAATAATAAACAATACAAACGACTATATAACTGACAACCATGACGTCACAATCAATTAGTCTAACTTCCATTAGGTTGTATCACACGTTAACGATTTAGTGCAACGGGGTCAATCTTTTTTTCAATTTTCACATGCAATTTGCCGGTTGACATTTCTTTTTTCAATTCATAGGGAAGACTCGCTGTTTCAAAGAAGACCAATTGGAACCACTGAGATAATTAGAAAATGGAAATAAAAGCATAAAATAGTTTCATTCCGCACAGATAAAATGATAATATTGATGAACATGTAAGGTAAGTGAATATCTGCAATATATTCGTGACGGTATTGAATTTTTTTCCAAAACTTGAAATCATTATAATAGTAAAACGATGGCCTAACCAACCTAAACAAATACTTGTTTCGGTCGTTTATACTTAAACGTAAGGCATATCTTTTCTATTTCTTCATCTGTCTTTAGAAATATCCGCACGTCGGTTTATTCTCAACAATTCAGTTAATCAGATTACCGCTTATTACAATAAAGTAAAACTAGTTGGTTTGACAATCGTTGGTTTTTACGTTACGTTTAGTTTAACGTGCGAGTACG